TTATGCAGAAACAATGAATCATGGAACACTACATCAAAAACTAATGATGTAATGTATGGTGATTAACATAACAATAAAAAATTATTTAAAAAAAAGAAATAAAAGACATCCAAATTGGCAAAGGAGAGGGTCAAGTTTTCACTCTTTGCAGACAACTTAAATGTATTAAAAAAAATTTTTTTATTATTGACGTGTTTATCACTCTATTGTACACCTGAAACTAATATTACCTGCATGTTAACTAACTGGAATCTAAGTAAAAGCATTGCCTTTTAAAAATTGAGTTGTTTGGGTTTTTTGCTATTGAATTTTTATACATATTTTGGACATTAATCTATTATCAGGTATGTAGTTTGCCAATTTTTTTTCCATTTGTGGGTTGCATTTTCACTTGGAAAATAGTTCCCTTTGATGCAGAGATATTTTTAATTTTGCTGAAGTATTTTTTCTCTCGTTGCTTGTATCTTTGGTGGTATATCCAGGAAATCTGGTCAAATCCAGTGTTGTGGAGATGTACTTCTGGTTTCTGCTAAGTGCTTACAGTTTTATTTCTTGTGGTTAGATCTGTGATCCATTTGGAATTATATTTGTAGATGGTGAATGGAAGGGTCCCTCTCATTTGTTGCATGTGGATATTCTGGTTTCCTTACCTTTGAACTGTCCTGGCACTCTGTTTTGTTTTGTTTTTTTTTGTAATTTAAAAAAATTATTTATTTATTATTTATTTATTTATTTATTTATTTATTTATTATGTTATGTTAGTCACCATATAGTACTTCATTAGTTTTTTTATATTATTACTATGTTATGTTAATCACCATACATTATATCATTAGTTTTTGATGTAGTGTTCCATGATTCATTGTTTGTGTATAACACCCAGTGCTCCATGAAGAACGTGCCCTCTTTAATACCCATCACCAGGCTAAACCATCCTCCCACCCTCCTCCCCTCTAGAACCCTCAATTTGTTTTTCAGAGTCCATCATCGCTCATGGTTCATCCCCCCTCCGATTTCCCCCGCTTCATTCTTCCCCCTCCTGCTATCTTCTTTTTTTCATTTAAAAAAAATTTTTTTAAACATATAATGTATTATTTGTTTCAGAGGTACAGATCTGTGATTCAACAGTCTTGCACAATTCACAGTGCTCACCATAGTACATACACTCCCTAATGTCTATCACCCAGCCACCCCATCCCTCCCGCCCACCACCGCTCCAGCAACCCTCAGTTTGTTTCTTGAGATTAAGAATTCCTCATATCAGTGAGGTCATATGATACATGTCTTTCTCTGATTGACTTATTTCGCTCAGCATAACACCCTCCAGTTCCAGCCATGTCATTGCAAATGGCAAGATTTCATTCCTTTTGATGGCTGCATAATATTCCATTGTATATATATACCACATCTTCTTTATCCATTTATATGAATTATTTTTAACCTTAGTAATCAACCCAGCAAACAAACATGCAATCTCTAGGCTCTAGATAGACTGGTTAGGCTTCCAGGTAACCTCAGGTAAAGGTTCTCAGGTTTCATTCTCTCTGATCCATTCCTGAAATACCTGTTAAGCTCTCAGACTCACCTAGTTGGAGACTATAAAATGAAAATTTCCATGTGGAGGTCCAAATTCCTCCCTGGATGTCTGGTGATGGAAACTCAAGCCTGCTTACAGACAGGACAGCAGGAAGCAGTGAAGCATGGGTCCCCCAGCCAGCCTTAGGAACCCAAAAGCAACAACCATGCCCTTTCCTGCACAAGGATTCAACATGGTAAGGGACTGCAGTGGAGGAGATATTTATAGCTCTCTGTGCCTGCTCTTTAAGTGCTGTTTCCTTTGTTATCCCACCTCTGAGAATATTATTTCCCCGTGGGCCACTAGTCTGGACATAAGAAATGTTTGCCAGCCAATTGTCTGTTCCCAGGAGACAAGTTTAGAAGTCAGATGAATCCAGGTTTTATTACTTCTTCTCCATGATCTTGTCTGACTTCCAGAGTTCTAACCTCCTTCCATCTAATCCCCATTTTGAGTTCATGTTTTCTTCAAATAAGACTGAGGAACCTGCTTAACCATGTCTCATGGACTTCCAAAGTGTTCTGTATGGCAGAGAAGATCTCCTGATATCTCTAGAAAAATGCTACTCCCCTCTTCAACAAGAGAGAGAGGCATGTTAATTTACTATAAACATATTGATACTGTGCTCTTGTCTTCGTGATGCTTTTGACTATTCAACCAGGTGAATCATGCTGATAACACAAATTAAGGAGTGTCATTTAGTGTTCCATTTTAAAAAGTGTGTTAATTATGAGATAGTTAGATTGTTTTATGAACCATACACTGAGCTGAGAATTCTATGTGGTTGTTTTATTTCATATATACAAAAGTCCACTCTGTAAGGGCTGTACTATAATGAACCTTAATATACACTTGTAAAAGTGGGGCTCAGAAGTGTGAAATGACCTACCCTGAGTTATGAGCTGAGGAAAGGATGATCTTTGACTGGAACTCCACCAAGATATTTCCAATTCTCATGCTCTGGTCACTGGTTCTCAACCAGGGGCAATTTTGCCTCCAGACAACTCTTGACAAGATATGGAGAAATCTCTGGTTGTCATAACTAGGGATATCTACTGGCATCTAGTGACTTGAGGCCAGGGATGCTGCCCCATATCCCACAATGCACAGGATGGTCCCCACCACAAAGAATTATCTAGCACAAATGTCAACAGTGGAGACGTTGAGAACACTATTCTAGACCAGAACTTCTCGAACATTAACGCGAATATGTATCACTTGGGGATGCTGTTCAAATTCAGATCTGATTTGGCAGGATGTGGGTGAGGCTCAGAGATGTCTATAATTGTAACTGCTTCCCAATTGTTACTGATGCCACCAGTACTGGTCTATGGACCAGTCTTTGAGTACTAAGGCTGTGGTTCAGTGTTTGAGTCAGGGATAGTTGTTTTTAGACCTCTACCAAGAATCCTCATGCTCACCTCAGGTCTGATCTTAGTGGGTCACATAATGGACTCAGTAGTCGAGCTTGTGTATGCTCAAGTTTATGTGTGCCTCTTGAGTATTTCCCTCTTGAGCTGTGCTGCCTCAGGGAAGGGATGATGCCAGATGGAAGAAATGCACAGGACAAGTTATGGAGAAAGGGTGTGGTGCTTCCATGCCTTCTCCAAGTATGCCACTCTACCAGTCTCCAAATGTTCACCAACCTGGAAGCTCTCTGAACCATCATTCTGGGTTTTATGGAAGCTTCATGATACAGATACGATTGATTAAATCATTGTCCATTAGTGATTAGACACCATCTCCGGCCCCTTTCCCATCCCAGGAGGTCAAGCGGTTGGTCCTAACATTCCAGTCCTCTAACCACATGGTTGCTCCCCTTGGCAAGCAGCCTCTCTCCTTAGGTACTTTCCCAATGTCACTTCATTAACCTACAAAAGATAACTTTATGGATCTCACCACTTAGGAAATTCCAAGTTTGAGAAACTCTGTGCCAGAACTGGGGATGAAGACCAAATCTATATTTTTTAGTATAAATCACAAAGTCAGTTATAAGCATAGTACTAGATGAAGCCTTGATTGGAATTCTGTCATGATGATTCCAGTTCTCAAACTCTGGTACAGTGGTTCTCAACCAGACATGATATTGCCCTTGGGATATTTGGGCCATGTCTGAAGGGATGCAGCTTAACATTTATAATCCCTGAGACAGCACCCAACACAAATATTTATCCAGCCCCAAGTGTCAACAGTTAGAAGGTGAGAAATATGATTCTAGACCAGCATTTTTCTACCTTCATTGTATATACAAATCACCAACATTGGAGCTAAAATGCAAATTCTGATTCATCACATGCCCAGTGCCCAGGGATTCTGCATTTATAATAAGCTCCCAGGTGATGTTGGTGCTATAGGTCCTGGCCTGTGGGGCACAGTTTGAGAACAAGCTGTCTTCCTGTGTTAGAGACACATGTAGGTAGCTTTAGATCTTCTCCACTAAGATTCTTTATAATTTTGAAAGAAAGTTTTTTCCCATAACTCTATAGGTGTTGATAAATTTTGTGTTAAATTCTTTTTTAATTTTAATTTTTTAAAAAATATTTTAGGGAGATGGACAGGAGGGGAGGAGCAGAGGGAGAGGGTGAGCGAGATATCTCCAGCAGATTCTTAGCTGAGCACAGAGCCTGATGCAGGTTTTGATCCCAGGACCTGAGGTCATGGCCTGAGCCTAAATAAAGAGTTGGACACTCACATGACTGAGCCACTCAGGCACCCCTCAATTCTATTATATAAGGGCTCTTGAGTGACATCAAGAAATTCATATTTGAAAAAGACTTCATAATAGGCAGAATAAGGGCTTTTAAAAGATATCCACATCCTAAAGAAAGAACTTTTGAAAATGTTTACATAGCAAGGGGAATTCAGCTAGTAGATGGAATAAGGCTGCTAATCAGTGATCTCTATAAAAAGATTAGCCTGGGTTATCCAGATGGGACTAGTGTAATCACAATAGTACTCTATATGTGGAAGAGGGAGAACAAAGAATTGGAATCTGAGAGACATTTTCAGACTCTGGGCTGTGGGCTTTGAAGATGGAAAAGGGCCATGAGACAAGAAAGGCAAGTAGCCACTGAAAAGTGAAATAGGAAAGGGAGTGAATTCTCCTCTGGAATGTCTAGAAAGATCACAGCTCTGCAGACTTCTTAATTTTAGACCAATGAGAACCATTTCAGGTTTCTGATTTTCTAGAAACATAAGATAAATCTTTGTTTTAAGCCATTTGTGGTCATTTGTTAGAGCAGGAATCAAATATAGACATTTGTTCAGGAAAATATTGTGTGTAGAAATGAAGTTTGAACCTTTCAACTCATTCAGTGAACTTCCCTTGGGTAAAAGCATTTGATATTGAAATCCCACCAAAGTGGAAGGAGAAAATTAGTTTTAATTAGGAGACATTCTGCCCCATTAGAAGGACAGTGATTTCCCACTGAATAAATGCAAATGTGGTTTTGACTCTGAGACTTTGAAGATTTGAGATAAAAAAAAAAAAAACCAATCCTTTATTAAAATTAAGGTCTCCTATCCAAGTACTAACTAGGCCCAACCCTGCTTAGCTTCCAAGATCAGACAAGATTGGGCACGTTCAGGGTGGTATGGCCATGTTGTAATGAGCACTGGGTGTTATATAAAACTGATGAATCACAGACCTGTACCCCTGAAACAAATAATACAACATATGTTAATTAATTGAATTTAAATAAAAAAATTAAAAAAGAAAAAAATGTTTGCATATTAAATAAAATAAAATAAAATTAAGGCCACCTATTCTACTTTAATGTTTGTGTCAAAATTCTACATTCTTTCTATTTTATGTTGATTAAAATATTTATCCTTTGATATGTATCCCCTCCAAACTTCAGGTTTTATTTCAACACAATAGATGAGATTTATTTATTTATTTTAATTTTTAAAAAAGATTTTATTTATTTATTTGACAGAGAGAGAGACAACGAGAGAGGGAACACAAGCAGGGGGAGTGGGAGAGGGAGAAGCAGGCTTCCCGCTGCACAGGGACCCTGATGCGGGGCTCGATCCCAGGACCCTGGGATCATGACCTGAGCCAAAGGTAGATGCTTAACGACTGAGCCACCCAGGCACCCCAGTGGATGAGATTTAAATAAGTCCCTGTGTGTCTATATAGATGTGTGTGAATGTGTTTATTTGAGAGAAAGATGTATACAAATGTACACACACATATACATACATTCCTAACGAATGTTTTCTTTGGACTCAACAAAGTGCTTGTACACGTTTATTTCAGAAGACTGTACTAAAGACAGTCTTAGGATTCCTTCCAAGTAACCAAAAGAGGCTGGAAGGACGTGCCTCTTGCACAAAAATGTGACCTGAATCACATAACTGAACAGGAGTTGAATCTCTCTAATGAGTCATCCTTTGATCCTGAGGATACGTAATGGATGATATAGAATGGATGATATTGATATTGTTCAATCATTGCCCATTTCCTGGTTATGGTTTAGAATTTAGAAAAGAGGAGATATTTCATTTAGAGCGGAGGAAAGAGTCTTATTTCTATGCAGCAGAAAGAGGAAGATGATTCAGTAAAATACCATAAATACGTCAACCAATTCTTCACCCCAACAGGGAAAACCCAGCTCTTCTACATGGACATCAAACTCCACATTCAGTGATTAGATAGACAGCATAAAATTAAATATTTTGCTCTGTAATACAAATTATAATTTCAAGTTTTCTTCATCATATTTAAGATCTTCCCTGACTCAAAGGCCACATGAAGTTAATATATTTATTCTAATATACGTTTCTATGTAGACTCCACTTGGAGAGATGTACTTGGTAATCATTTTGCCAATTAGTGTAGTAGGTACGGTGGACACAGCTGCATAGGAGAACATGATCCTAATAAGGAGTGTGGAGCTCAGTGACTACCTATAGGACAAACTATAAGTTAGTCTACATTGTCAGGATGAGCAGTGAAGGCAATGAGGTACAAAGTATTGATGTACACAAGAGTGAAAAACTGAGATCTCGTACTTTCCTTTAAAGTAAAATTATATAAATGTCCTTCATTATCAAACTAGTTTTTATCTTTATAAATAATATGACTTATGACTATCCTTTTAATAAAATAAGAGAAAATTACTTGGGGTGATATATGTTCTTTAAGTAGAAAGTACTCTTAAGAAAATCATACCCTATGACATAAATGGGAATTTCCAAATGTTTTTTTCAAGGCTGGAAAAAATTTTGAGAAAGTAGGAAATGGACAAAGAGGAAAACTGTCTGTATATCAGGCAGAACAGAAGCCTAATAAAGTGAGTTACTTAAATGTATGGAGATATTGAATTAAAAAAAAATGGGAATTCCAGGAAATAAATAAGAGGAATCTATTCTACTTCCACAGCCTGATAGAAGAATGTCAGTTCCTGGCTCTGAGGCAGTGAGCCCTGTAATCATAGGCACTTCTTCAGCCCCAGGATGATTGGCCCTCACATTACTGGAACCCCAGTGATTCTTTTCAGAACCCTCTTTAATTCTCTGTTCCTCAGGCTGTAGATGAAGGGGTTCAGCATGGGTGTGACCACCATGTACATCACCAAGGCTACTGCACTTGTGTGGGAGCTCTGGGGAGCAGCAGAGCCAAGGTACACAACAAGCGTCATACAATAAAATAAGGAGACAACTGAGAGGTGAGATGCACAGGTGGAAAATGCTTTATATTTGCCCTGAACTGATGATATTCTACATATGGAGGAAACAATCTTAGAATAAGAGTAAAGGATCCCAGCAAAAGGACCCCCATCCAGCAGGACAGCTGCAAAATAAATCACCAAGTTGTTAATAAAGGTGTCAGAACATGCAAGATGAATCATCTGATTGAGTTCACAAAAAAAGTGGGGGATTTGGAAGTGTGTACAGAAGGAAAGCAGCAACATCATTAAACTTTGTAACAAGGAATTCAGGATAGACATGATCCAGGACACAAGAACCAACAGTCCACAAAGCCGGGGGTTCATGATGACCTTGTAGTGCAGGGGGTGGCAGATGGCCACAAAGCGGTCATAGGCCATCACACTTAGGAGAAAGACATTCGACATGGCAAAGAGTATGAAAAAATACATCTGGCTGAGGCAGACTTCATAAGTGATCACTTTGCTGTGAGTCTGGATGTTCCATAGCATCTTGGGGATGGTGGTGGTGGTGAAACAGATGTCTACAAAGGACAGGTTGGCGAGGAAGAAGTACATGGGAGTGTGGAGGTTGGGGTCTGTGCTGATGGCCAGGATGATGAACAAGTTTCCAAACACAGTGATCAGGTACATGGAGAAGAAAAGCCCAAATATTAGGGGCTGCAGTTCTGGATCCTCTGAAAATCCCAGAAGAAGAATCTCTGAAATTTGTGTATCATTGCCTTGTTCCATTTGGTGGAGATGACTAGTGAGAAGGATAAAACAATAATAATTTTCAATCAAATGGCTTTCATTTATTTCTTACCCTATATTATTTTTCAGTTTTTAAAGTTTTTGTTTAAATTCCAGTTAGCTAACATACAATGTAATATGAGTTTCAGGTGTAGAATTTAGTGATTCAACACTTCCATACATCACCCTGTGCTCATCACAAATGCCCTCCTTCATCCCTATCACCTATTTCACCCATCCCCCTCACCCACCTCCCCTCTGGTACCCAGTAGTTTGTTCTCAAGAGTTAAGAGTCTGTATCTTGGTTTACCTCTCTCTCTCTCTTTTTTCGCACGATCATTTGTTTTGTTTCTTCAATTCCACATATGACTGAATCATATGGTAGTCATCTTTCTCTGACTGACTTATTTCACTTAGCATAATACAATCTAGTTCCATCCACATCGTTGCAAATGGCAAGATTTCATTCGTTTTTATGGATGAGCAATATTCCACTGTATACATATACTACTTTTTAAAATTGTTATGTTAATCACCATACATTACATCATTAGATTTTGATGTGGTGTTCCATGATTCATTGTTTGTGTATAATACCCAGTGCTCCATTCAATACGTGCCCTCTTTAAAACCTATCACCAGGCTTACCCATCCCCCCACCCCCCTTCCCCTCTAGAACCCTCAATTTGTTTCTCAGAGTCCATAGTCTCTCATGGTTTGTCTCCCCCTCTGGTTGCACCCCCTTCATTTTTCCTTTCCTACTATCTTCTTCTTTTTTTTTTTTTTTTAACATATAATGTATTATTTGTTTCAGAGATACAGGTCTGTGATTCAATAGTCTTACACAATTCACAGCACTTACCAAAGCACATACCCTCCCCAATGTCTATCACCCAGCCACCCCATCCTTCCCAACCCCCACCACTCCAGCAAACCTCAGTTTGTTTCCTGAGATTAAGAATTCCTCATATCAGTGAGATCATATGATACATGTCTTTCTCTGAATACCTTTTATTTCTTTTTGTTGTATGATTGCTGTTACTAGGACTTCTAGTATTATGTTGAACAATAGTGGTGAGAGTGGGCATCCTTGACGTGTTCCTGATCTTAAGGGAAAGGCTCTCAGCATTTCCCCATTGAGGATGATAATCGCTGTGGGTTTTTCATAGACGGATTTTATGAACTTGAGGAATGTTCACTCTATCCCTATACTCTGAAGAGTTTTAATCAGAAAAGGATGTTGTATTTCATCAAATACTTTTTCTGCATCAATTGAGAGGACCATATGGTTCTTCTCCCTCCTCTTATTAATGTGTTCTATCACATTGATTGATTTGTGAATGTTGAACCACTCTTGCATCCCAGGGATAAATCCCACTTGGTCGTGGTAGATGATCGTTTTAATGTATTGTTAGATCCTATTAGCTAGGATTTTGTGGAGGATTTTGGAATCTATATTCATCAGGGATATCGGTCTGAAATTCTCCTTTTCGATGGGGTCTTTGCCTGGTTTGTGGATTAAGGTAATGCTGGCCTCAGAGAATGAGTTTGGAAGTTTTCCTTCTGTTTCTATTTTTTGAAATAGCTTCAGTAGAATACGTATTATTTCTTCTTTGAATGTTTGGTAGAATTCCCCAGGGAATCCATCAGGCCCTGGACTCTTGTTTTTGGGGAGGTTTTTGATCACCGCTTCAATCTCGTTACTGGTTATTGGCCTATTCAAGTTGTCAATTTCTTCCTGTTTCAGTCTCGGCAGCTTATAGGTTTCCAGGAAGGCCTCCATTTCATCCAGATTGCTCAGTTTATTGGCATATAGTTGTTGATAATCATTTCTAATAATTGTTTCTATTTCCTTGGTGTTAGTCATGATCTATCCCCTTTCATTCACAATTTTATTAATTTGGGTCCTTTCTCTTTTCTTTTGGATAAGTTTGGCCAGTGGTTTATCGATCTTATTATTTCTTTCAAAGAACCAACTTCTAGTTTCGTTGATCTGACCTGCTGTGCTTCTGGTTTCTAATTCATTGATCTCTGCTCTAATTTTAATTATTTCTCTTCTAATGTGTGGCTTAGGCATCGTTTGTTGCTTTTTCTCTAGTTCTTTAAGGTGTAGAGTTAGTTAGTTGGTGAATTCGGGATTTTTCTGTTTTTTGTTTTGTTTTGTTTTTTTTTTTTAGTGAGGCTTGGATGGCTAGGTATTTCCCCCTTAGGACCGCCTTTGCAGTATGCCATAGGTTTTGGACCAATGTGTTTTCGTTCTCATTGATTTCCATGAATTGTTTAAGTTCTTCTTTGATTTCCTGGTTGACCCAAACATTCTTGAGCAGAGTGGTCTTTAGCTTCCAAGTGTTTGAATTTCTGCCAATTTTTTCTTGTGATTGAGTTCCAGTTTTAAAGCATTGTGATCTGAGAATATGCAGGAAATAATCTCAATCTTTTGGTATCGGTTGAGACCTGATTTGTGACCCAGTATGTGGTCTCTTCTGGAGAAAGTTTCATGTGTGCTCGAGAAGAATGAGTATTCTGTTGTTTTAGGGTGCGAATGTTCTGTATATATCTATGAGGTCCATCTGGTCCAGTGTGTCATTCAAAGCTCTTGTTTCCTTGTTGATTTTCTGCTTAGATGATCTATCCATTTCTGAGAGTGGAGTATTGAGGTCTCCTACAATTAACGTATTGTTATCAATATGACTCTTTATTTTGGTTAAAGGTTGGCTTATGTAGATGGCTGCTCCCATGTTGGGGGCATAGATATTTACAATTGTTAGATCTTCTTGTTGGATAGACCCTTTAAGAATGATATAGTGTCCTTCTGTGTCTCTAATTACAGACTTTAGTTTAAAATCTAATTTCTCTGATATAAAAATTGCTACCCCAGCTTTCTTTTGAGGTCCGCTGGCATGGAAGATGGATCTCCATCCCTTTGCTTTCAGTCTGGATGTATCTTTAGGTTCAAAATGAGTCTCTTGTAGGCAGCATATGGATGGTTCCTGTCTTTTTATCCAATCTGCAACCCTGTGCCATCTTATGGGAGCATTTAGGCCATTCACGTTGAGAGTGATTATTGAAAGATATGAATTAATTGTCATCATGTTGCCTGTGAAGACGTTGTTTTTATAGATTGTCCCTGTAAATTTCTGTTGTATATCACTCTTGGGGTCTTTCTCCTTTTATAGAACCCCCCTTACTATTTCTTGCAGGGCCGGCTTAGTGGTCACATATTCTTTCAGTTTCTGCCAGTCTTGGAAGCTCCGCATCGCTCCATCCATTCTAAATGACAGCCTTGCCGGATAAAGTATTCTTGGCTGCATGTTCTTCTCATTTAGTACCTTGAATATGTCTTGCCAGGTCTCTGTGGGTAGGTCTGATGTTATTCTGATGTTCCTTCCTCTGTACTTAAGGAATCTCTTCCCCCTAACTACCCTTAAGATGGTTTCCTTGGTTCTAAGATTTGCGAGTTTTACTATTACATGCCGGGGTGTTGGCCTGTTTTCCTTGGTCTTGGGAGGGGTCCTCTCTGCCTCTAGGATGCGAATGTTTGTTTCATTCCCCAGATTAGGGAAGTTCTCAGCTACGATTTGCTCAAATACATCTTCCCGGGTTTCCAATTATTCTGACATTGGAATGCTTCATGGTGTCCCTTATTTCTCTGATTCTATTTTCATGGATTCTGAGTTGTTTTTCCCTGGCCTCCTCTTTTCCCTTTTTATCTATTATATTGTCTTCCAGGTCGCTTATTCATTCTTCTGCCTCACTTACCCTAGCTGTTAGATTATCTAGATTGGATTGGATCTCATTGATAGCATTTTTAAGTTCTGCCAATTCAGCTTTCATTACTGCCCTTAGAGACTCTATGTTGCCATTAATTGATTTCTCCATTCTAGCTATTGTCTTCACAATTGCTAGCCTGAATTCCATCTCCAACATCTTGGTTATATCTGCATCCATTTGTAAATCTGTGGCATAAGTCATAATCTCTGAGTCTTTTCTATTTTGGGGATTTCTCCTCCTAGTCATTCTGTTGATGGGTGGTTGAGGGAATGTATAGCGTCCAAATTATTGACCGGAACCCAAGCAAGATGCACCTGTTTTCTAGGGACCTTAGGGTTGCTGGCCTCTTGTTTTCCCAGCCTGTCTTCTGGGGGAGGGGCCTGCCCTGCTGTTACTCAGGCAACCCTGTTTGGGCAGAGTTGCCCTGCCCCCCTGTGGGGGGGATGGGCTCAGTGGGAATTGTTTTTTGGGGGTTTTTGTTCTCTGTTGGCTTTCCGCATCTCTTCCGAGAGTCAGAGCAGAAGAGACCATTTCCAGCCCTCTGCCTCAGAGCAGAGAGATCGCAGTCTGTTCTTCAGTGAGCTCTCCAGGCCACACTGTCTCTGTTTCTGTCTGTGCTGCTATAAACTGCAGCATCCTGGGTTGTGCGCCCCTCTGCAGCGCCCCCAGTCCTGCCTCCAGGTCGGAGCAAGTCTCTGCCCTTTGTGCATCGAAAACCACCAGCCACTCCCAGTTCGCACAGCCACTCTGGGTTTCTGCCCCAGGACTGCCCTAAAGTCCTTTCCCCGCTGCTACCAGTCTGTAAGTCTGTGCCCCGTCCCCAGTGCATGAGGCTGTCGCTCACCGGCGGTGTAGGATCCCCACGGCCAGGCTCCCTCCCGCTGCCATTTATCCTCTGATATCTGCCTGTGGAATCACGGCTCCCCACTTTGTACCTCAAAACCAACCACCCACGATATTCTGTTTGTAGAGATCCAGATCTTCTTACATCTCAGGCTGAGTTTGTGGGTGCTCAGAGTGGTCTGGTAGATATCCAGCTCAATTCCAGGGACCAGTTGAAATAGGGTCCCCTACTCCTCCACCATCTTTTCTCCAGTTCCTGGTTACTATGTTTTGAAGCCTGCTCATCATCCTGGCCATCAGCTCTGACACGCACCTCCACACCCCCATGTACTTCTTCCTCTCCAACCTGTCCTTTGGTTGGACAAGAAGACATCTGTTTCACCTCC